CTGGGTTCGCGGTTGCAAGGTCAAATTTTCATAAGTAGGTACACTAACTTCTGGATTGGACTGCATATTAGGCACATTACTTTCCGGTATTCGGTCTTCGTTGGCCTTTTTCTTAGTGCTTATGGGGACGTACTGCGTTGTAGGTGTGACAGAAGATATTTCAATAGCACCAGGGAATTTTTCTATGGAGGCCGAGGCCATCTTTTCTTCTAATTTGGAGATACGTGCTTTGAGATGCAAATTTTCTTCACGCAATTTGCATATATCTTGCTTATTTATGTTGATAGTTTCGTCTTGCTTGGTGAGTTTAGCCAATAAATTTGATATTTCATATTCAACCTTCTCTTTAAAATTGTCAAATAATGCATTTTTTGTAGTGGCGTTGTCGCTCTCGCGTTGTTTAAAGGGGGTAGAATTTACAAATACTTGTTCCACAGTACCCTTCGTTACTTCACTGTGTCGGGAGTTCATAATATTACAAAATGAATCGTCAATAAAATTCTCAAGCTCCACAAGCGACGAATTATCAATAGGTGATATTATATCTATTTTGGCGACAGGAATCTCGGCTCGATAATCATTATTCTCGGTTGTTAGGTTGCTTACTTCGCTTCTATCACCGGTGCAGGTTATTACTGAGACTTCGGCAGACTGTACGCCTGTGTCACTCTGTTGGGGCAACATAAGTTCACTATTTAGGCTTACCAGTAATTTCTTTAAAGACTCCCCTTCGCTACCTTGGACAACTAATGTTCGTTGTTTGCCGCGATACCAAGTTATTGTCAGATCTGAGTTGCTTATAAACTTCTTAGAGTTCCCGCCAGGTGAAATCCATTTACCGCTCAAACCAACGGTATTTTGAATAAAACTCTCCAGTTCATCATAGTTGCCGTTCCACTTTAAACGTTTCCCATCATAGACAAGAGTGTTGTTGTTTTTATACGTTCGAATATCGTCCAAATTCACATTTCCAACATTAAATTTAGTATTGGGAATATCTATGGAGCTAACCTTAGCATGACCATCCGCCATCATAGGATATAGTCTCAATATTTAACGAAAGAAATCTGGGAAATAGTAGTTAAACCTACGAATATAACGAATAAAATGCTGGTATATATATATATATTTCAGGTGGAGCTCATGTTGCAACTTTAATATTTTTCTATGTTTTTCAAATATTCGAAACCACTTAAGCAATTTTAGCTATTTGATCTGCACTAAATATGTTGTAAAATATTTATGCCTTGACGGTTTTATTTGTCGGTTTTTTAAAAACTGAAAATTCGCGTCGCGTTGCCAAATCGCGTCCGGTCTGTGTGGGCCTTTAGAGTGTTAAAGGGCGAATATTTCCCGGTTCGGTTTTTGAATGAACAAGACGCTCAAAAGAGCGTTAACTCGCTGGGACTATGCATGCCTATAGTTATAGATAGATAGATAAATAGATAGATAGATAGATAGAGACTTTATTTAAAGAGGGTGGCACTTAAAGTAGGCTACTAATGAACTTGTGGCCCTCATAAAATTTACAAAAATTAGGGAGTACATCTATTGTCTATTTACAATATATATATATATATATATATATATATATATATATATATATATATATATATATATATATATATATATATATATATATATATATTAGTTGTGTAATTGTACACTCTGTAATATGTTAAGATGAAAATGTTCTAGAGTGTGTATTATATAATTTCCATACCCAGCGCAAGCAGAAAGATGCTGTCTGCCGCGGCTGGGTCTCGAACCCGCGACCTTCGAATTACTAGATCGAGCTTTACCTACTGAGCTACACGGTCAGACGGATTTAAGACTGGAAATTATGAAATATATACTGAATGTCATAAACATACTACTCGTTTATATTAATTCAGCACCGAACAACACTAGTTCTGCAAGTGTTATGTTAGTTGTGTAATTGTACACTCTGTAATATGTTAAGATGAAAATGTTCTAGAGTGTGTATTATATAATTTCCATACCCAGCGCAAGCAGAAAGATGTTGTCGAACTAGTATTGTTCGATGCTGAATTAATATAAACGAGTATGTTTATGACATTCAGTATATATTTCATAATTTCCAGTCTTAAATCCGTCTGACCGTGTAGCTCAGTAGGTAGAGCGTCGATCTAGTAATTCGAAGGTCGCGGGTTCGAGACCCAGCCACGGCAGACAACATCTTTCTGCTTGCGCTGGGTATGGAAATTATATAATACACACTCTAGAACATTTTCATCTTAATATATATATATATATATATATATATATATATATATATATATATATATATATATATATATATATATATATATATATATATATATATATATATGATTATAAATCAAAATTCAAACTTTCAAGTTTACTTAAAAAGGTTATATTATATGAGGTATATGGGAAATTACATTTATATAAAAGAGAACATTAGCTATATTACAATTATATATGGCTTAAATTTGAAATCAGGAAAAGATATAAATTGTTTAAATTCACTCTGGTGCGTATACGGAAGCACTAATTATATAATAAGTATTTAAAACAGTTAACGGAGCTAGCAGAACAAAAACTTAAAGGTAATTTGTTCCAGAGGCCTATAGCGGTTATAAAGAAAGTTCTTCCTGCTTCTGTAGCTCTGTTGTATTTCGGAGTTACTAAACTTAAATCAGCACTGCGAGTCCTACAATTATATGGCCAATTAAAGAGTTAATTGTCACCTGTCCCTTGTTGCAAAATTGCGGTCTCCGTGCCAAGTTTGGCTCAGCCTTATATTCTGCCACAGTCTGCGTAGCAGACGGTTTTTTGGGGAGGAGTTTGTCAGAAAATAGAAGTAAATAGAGTTTGTTCGGAAACAAATGATTCATTAACTGCCTAGAAACCCCTTGCACGACTTCTTTTTTACGGGAAAATTAATTAATTTCGGACCTCAGGACCGACTATCAGTCTGGTTTTGTGCACCCAACAAGAACAAAAATACCATCGTTCGAATCAGCATGCGAAATTGTAGTTACGGATGCGAAATTGTACTTACGGATGCGAAATTCATTACTAAACAGCACTATTCTAGCGATTTATGGTCTTTTGAAGACAAGCAAAATTGTATTGTTGACAAATCGCTCAAAATTATGATTTAACTAATTAACTGACAATGCAGTACTTTTGATTCTTGATCATAACTTTCGCATCGTTCGTTTCTTCTTTTTCGGCCGTATACCAATGGATTCGGCCGCACTTTTCTCTTCATTTTGACAGTATTTTGATCCGACAAGGCTTATCTTGAAGTTTTAAAGCGACGTTTTAACCCTAGTGTACGGAACAACTGCCGCCTGACAGGAGGAATATGTACGTAGCGTGCTACTGTATAAAAATATGACCGCTTTACTTGTAGCACAGCTTGTAGGCGGAAATGCCGGAAACTTTTACTTGTAAAGCTGAAGCACCGCATTTTAGTACTGTGTCTGGTCTTTACTCTGTTCTTGTAAAAGCATAGTTGGCACTTAAGGCCGGATTCCACGAGGCGGAATTTTTCGACCGAAACGAAATTTCTCTTTGTCTTTTTACAATTAGTTCTGCTCGAGAGCTCTGAAACAAAGAGAAATTTGGATTCGGTCGAAAAATTTCGCCTAGTGGAAAACCGCCTTTAGGCTTAGCAGATACGGTTAGCATTTCCCGACGAAAGGCCTTCGCTCGAAATGTCGAAATTGCTTGTATTTTTCGGGTTGTTGAATGGCACAGACCGTTCGAGTTTATATCGAGTTTATATTTCATACAATTGAATTGTTGTTGACTTCTTGTACACGTGCATCGCTGTCTTTGTATTTCTGTCTTTGTTGGGCTATAAGATGTCATTCAGTTGACCGCTTAACAAGATTCATTTGGCATTAATACATCTCCAAATTCATTATTCTTGTCATTGAATCCTCAATGGCATAAAAAAGCAGTTTTGAAAGTCATACATATATTCATACTGGTTAAAATAAACAGCTGCTTTGGCTTTTTTAGTAAAATTGTTGAATTTTTCTCAAAACTTAGGGTTATTTATGGATAATTCGGGTAAACTGGCAGGAGCTTTATGGATAATTTGGGTAAAAATTGGCAGCTCATTAACATTCTATTTTGTGGCTACTGAACGCAATCGGAAATCTGACATCCGCCAAAAATGTGTGCCGAAACCTATACGGCTCGCCTGGGCACAGTGCCCCAGCGAGTAAAAGGGAATTGAAATTAAACCAGGGCTGTTTATATACAGAATGTCATGTAGAATCGAAGGGTATTTTCGGAATTTCCAAGCATGCTCGAGTGGTTGCGACTCAGCCACGTTCACATGAGAGCGGAACGAAATAATGTCGGCAGAATTTACATGCGTTCACAGTACGCCGTTAAGGCCTGATTCCACGAGCGCTTTTTCTCGGCGAAATGCGAAACATTTCGCACGAAATAAAATCGTGCATGCGCAGTAAAGACACATTAGGCTTCGCAAGAAAAAATTTCGCCTCTTCAGTGAACAGAAGTCAGTTCTACTCACTGCGAAAGCGACAAAAGTCAGTGCAAATTCAATATAGAATCACTCATTTGCAGCCATCCATATTTCGCAGACACGACTTCACGCGAAGAAGTTGCCGTCGTGGAATCAGGCCGTTACAGTTTGTTTACCGACAAATTAAATTGGCATGCACTCATGGAAATCCAAAATATTTGAAATCGAGCAAAGAAATTTAACGAAAAGCATTCGACTTTACTGTTTTATGACCTGAGATGCTTGGTTTGCAAGCGGTACAAAAAAGTAAACCGTTTGAATGTCGACGCTTGTGTTCACACGAAGCGGTCAAGAGCTCCGTTTTCATCTTGCTCCGTTTAGAAACCGTTGTGAAATTGCCGGACGGCAAAAGCGACGTTTTCAAACCGTTCCGGCGTAATGTGAACGTAGTCACACAATCGCGTCTCAAAAGAGAAAATCGCACAGGTATATACGGGTCACTTACCCATAATGTGGCGATAAATAACGAAGAGAAGAATCCTTATTAATGCCTCCTCTAGACTTTATTTTCCGTGACTTGTCAAAAATACCGCCATGACTACATTTGCCGACACCCCGAGGTTTAGCTACATCTTGTCCTCCGTAGTAACCACTTGTTAGTTTTCCCGTATTCAATAAATTATTCTGACAGTCATCGGAACCAAAAAGAATGTCATATTTCCTTGCTGGGGAACAGTCATTGCACGTTTTCTCGTCCGCCCCCGCTACATAATCGTCGCTTATAATTTCATTTCCCAAGATTGATAATGGGTCACTGTTTCCCGATTCAATCCAGTTTGAATGACTGTAAAAGTCTTGCAAAGTATGGAGTAGTCTACCAGTCTCCTTCCTAGCCTTGGTGTAGTGTACTTTGTTATCGCCAGCATTCTTAATCAGAGAAATAATTTGTTTCTTTAATCTAAGAAGACGTAGGGAACTTTCACGAAACTGCTCAGCGTCGAAATGGGCGGCAGATATCTCTAGTTCGTTTTTGTCTACAATGGCATTTGCGTCCTCTATTTCTTGAACAGCATCGTCGAATTTTGAAGACCTTAATAAACGAAAGAGCCATGAGCGAGATTCCTTGCCTTCAAGTATTCTTGCTGTATCGATAGACAAGAGTTCAGTAACCGCTTTCTCTTGATTCGCCGCATACTTTGGATTTGTTTTAAGGAACTCAATGACGCTACACCATAACCCTGACTGTGTGATAATTTTGTGATTAAGAGAAGACCAACCTCCACTTATAATCGTTAACCATTGTGTTGGAATAAATGCAGTGGAAAATCTAACGAGAAGAAACAAAAAATATAACTGTAACTTCATTTTGAGCTCAGCAAGCTTGTGTTATGCGAGCACGCTTTCGCTATGCAAAAATCTCGCGGCGTCTGTTTACTCTGCGGTTAGCTCCCAAAATCCAAGCTACTGCAGGAGAGCTATAAATATTCAATTTCGTGGAAAATATAATGCACTGATCTTATAATAGACTGGATATGGTATAGAAGATGACTGAAAAGCACAATGGTTTAAACCGCCTATTTTCAGTCAAACGTCTATCATATATTATATATATACGACCGGTCGGGGTGCCTCTTTTATGATTGATGCCACCAAATGACGTTTTATCTGGCTTACAAATAATTATTTTAACATAGGTCCTATCACTTTGACGTGAATGCGTGTAAACGTGCTTTCAACGATTTTAAATTTTTAATTTTATGTAAATTTGTAAATGTCGACAGAAGTCAAATCGGGAGGTAGCCTCGCATGGGCTATTATGGCCCGTTCGCTATTTTCCCGTTTAGGAACTGCATGTTTGTTGTATTTGTACCTTATTAATGTAATATATTTAGTTCCTAATAAAGCTGTTAAAAAAAAATTATATATATATATATATATATATATATATATATATATATATATATATTATTTTTAAATACTAGAAGTTACTATCGCAAGGAAAGTGCTGCCTCAACCCCACAGGATCAACGGCAGCATGCACAATTTTCCGAATCCCGCCGGACGAGATATGAGGCGGGATTATTTTGATGTATTGGAATAAGTCATGGTGCACAATTCAGGAAAGAACCTGAATCTCTTCTAGAGATAGATTATATAGAATTATATGTAAATGAAAGGTACGTTGTTCAAGCAGCAATAATCTTCTTGAACAAGATCTTGTCTACAACATTTGAGTTCTGTTAACCAGCATTTGAGCTAGCCTATAGCCATTCGTTTAGCCTAGCGACTTATTTCAATATCACCCCGCCTTCCTTCATATAAACAGCCCCTAAGACGCCTGTTCAGGAGGTAGGAAAAGTGCATATTGAACTGATATCAAACATTCAAACTTCTACTTTCTTGGCATGGGCGGTTGGTTTTATATCAATACCTTGTAATTTCTTGTTTTTGTATGTATAATTATAATATAGCGAGCTAAACGGTGGATAGCGACTTAAACGCCTTTCGTACAACCGGCCCCTGTCTGTGCAAAACTAGCCATAACAACAGGTCATGCTATGCAAATTTTTAATTATTTGCATTATTCAAATGATGCAGGTTTATTAGCACAGCATGACCAGTTGCTATGCCTATGGTGGCCGGACATTTTGCCGAAAGACACTTTGCCGAAAGACATTTTGCCGAACGGACATTTTGCCGACGGCGGACATTCTGTCGAACGGACATTTTGCCGAACGGACATTTCGACGAACGGACTTTTCGCCGAAAACATATTTTGCCGAACGGACAATTTGCCGAAAATAGAAATATTTTCCGAACTTTATTTAAAGGCTCGCCTACACTATCAAAGTTTTGGTAATTAAAGTCTTTGATAAAAATCATTGTTGACTTTGATGACAGAAACTTGATAGTGAACAATGTTTCGACTTATATTTTACAGCTGAGAATAACTTGATTCATGAATGTTAAGGTAAAAGTTAATTATGTATATATTTCATAAAAAGCAACAACTTGTCAACAGGATGTGTTCGCACTGCTTGTTCCCAGCTTGTTGACAACTTGCTACAAGGTTGTTGAGCTCAACAGACTTGTTACAACAACTTGTTATCGTCCTTCAATTCAAGAATTTGTCAACAAGTTGTTAGTGACAACCTTGTAGCAACTTGATAAAGTAACAGCATTGCTACTGCTGCTTGTTGACAAGCTTGCTGCAAGCCTGTTGCGAACACATCTTGTTGACAAGTTGTGAGATAGGTTGGCTTTGGCAGTTTTGGTCAATTTTGGGGCCAGCATTTGGTAATCGCCTAGGCCCAGTCTTCTCATGAGAAAAAGCGCTGAATATTAAAAAATAATAAAAATTGAAGGCCTAGGTCTAGGCTTCTGACACTGCTCTTTGGGCAGCCACACAAGATGGATCAGGTGGATATATGCGAATGCTCATAGCTATATATATATATATATATATATATATATATATATATATATATATATATATATATATATATATATATATATATATATATATATATATATATATATATATATATATATATTTCGGAATGTGAAATTCAACTAATTTAAAAACATTAAAAAATTAATGTTTAAAAAATTTAATGTTTTTTAATGTTTTTTAATTTTTTAATGTTTTTTAATTTTTTAATGTTTTTTTAATTTTTTAATTTTTTAATGTTTTTTAATGTTTTTTAATGTTTTTAAATTAGTTGAATTTCACATTCCGAAATATAATTCGCTCCACAATCTCTGTGTTGAGCACTCTAGCAAAGTGGACAAACCCAACTTGTATATATATATATATATATATATATATATATATATATATATATATATATATATATATATATATATATATATATATATATATATATATATATATATATATATATATATATATATATATATATATATATATGCGAATGCTCATGATATATGCGGATGCTCATGAGAAGACTGGGCCTAGGCGATTACCAAATGCTAGCCCCAAAATTGACCAAACTGCCAAAGCCAGTCAAATCTCACAACTTGTCAACAAGATGTATTCGTAATGCTGTTATTTTATCAAGTTACTGCAAGATTCTCACTCACAACTTGTTGACAAATTGTTGAATTGCAGGACGATAACAAGTTGTTGCAACAACTTGTAACAAGTCTGTTGAGCTCAACAACCTTGTAGCAAGTTGTCAACAAGCCGTTGACAACTTGTCAACAAGCTGGGAACAAGCAGTGCGAACACATCCAGTTGACAAGTTGTTGGAACAGCTATGCTACAAGTCTGCTGCAGGTTTGTTACAACTTGTGCGTTTTTACGTGTGTAGGTCTAGGCTGCAGTGTCAGCATTGCAACATCGTGCCGGTCATAAGCATGCCATGCTTTCCTATAAAATGTGTACGATAATATATATGCTTTTTATGAAATATATATGGTTCATGCCATAAGGTTTCCACTATAGTTGAGTCTGCCAGAGCATTCTGCAAATTTGCGATTTCCCCGAGAACCATGTTTAGGTCTACTAATGTTTATTTTATTGTATTTTCTATTAATTTTCTAACTATGCCAAAATCGGTAAAAATGTCCATCCTGGTCTGGTGGGATATAAAGCCTTCATATGGAAAATTTTAAATCCACTTGACTGAGATCCCACCTAGCACAAGGTAAGATCTTACCTAGCCATGCTGGCTCATTTTTTATATGAACACTGACATTGAATTTTGGTCAATTTCACATGAGACATTGAAAATGGCAAAATTGCAAAATGCAACATTATGTGGTGCTAACCACATGTTTCCATAGTTAACACATTGGATTATCATAAATCAAAACGATTTTTGAATTTTGGCCCATGCCTACTCTGCGGCAAACCGTCGAATCTGCACTTGTTTGTTGCTATTGTTCTGTGGATAAAGTGTGTTTATTTAAAATAATTATAACTCAGTCACTTTAACTTTGAAATAAGTTATATTTCTTAACAAACACAGTCTAAGGTTCACATATCATGATGACAATGTTAGACAGACAATATCCAGTGTTGCTGTGATTTATGGTGCATCGAAGTTTGGGTAAGAGAAATGTAATGTCCGCAACAAAAAAAACAATTCAATTTATTTTTCAGCCAAACGTCTAGCTCTTTTGAAATTATATTTGTGCTGCTTTTTTAAAATGGTATTAACATTATTTTAGACTTGAAAAAGACAATAAAAAGTATTAACATGTCTTGAATAATGTGTTGCGGACATTACGTTGCAGACATTACATTTTTGAAATTGGAGAATTAGATGCTTATATAATTGTCTTGCTTGAATTCTATAGTTATTTTAAGCTTGATGACTTAAAAATAGAACATTAAAAGGAATATGGGACCCTTACTTTTAACTATAATCACTTCGTGCTGTATACACAATCACAGTGACACAATTCATCATGGAAAGTTTCCAAGTTACATATAATGCCACTACCGTATACTGCCATTGTACCATCAGTTTTGTAAGGCATATGTTGTTAAGAGCAAAATCATGTTTTAATTCATATTTGTTTTGATCATCTTCCACTAAACCCAGGGGTGTTAATTATCCCCACCAAATGTAGTAAATGCAAAACTGTCAAATAGAATGGTCTACAAACATGACAC